ATGAATCATGGAACACTACATCAAAAACTAATGATGTGATGTATGGTGATTAACTTAAATTAAAAAAATATTTTTTAAAGATAAATAAATAAACATAAAAATGAAAAGCTGTTTGGCTTTTATAAAGATTCTAAGTTTTCAAAGCCACCTCTTATTCTCATCTGGCCACCATCTCTGCTTTCTTGTCTACAGGCCTGAGTAAGGTGTTAACTCAAGGGCCAGGAATGCCTCAGGTGTTTTCAACAGAGCCCGAAACAAGCCTCCTCCCAAGAAACCACCAGCGGGGGGCGCCTGGGTGGCTCAGTCGGTTAAGCATCTGCTTTCGGCTCAGCTCATGATCTCAGGGTCCTGGGATCGAGCCCCGCGTCGGGCTCCCTGCTCAGCGGGGAGTCTGCTTCTCCCTCTCCCTCTGCCCCGGCTCCAGGTCCTCACTCTCTCTCGGATAAATAAATAAAATATTTAAAAAGAAAAGAAAAAAAAAAAGAAACCACCAGCGGTTACCGGGAGCAGCGAGTCTGGTAAACCTCACAAGTCCTGGCCAGCTGGGCTAGCGGCACCACTGGGAGCAAGCCGACCACGGGAAGACAACTACGCCTGAAGCCAAGGGCAGACCCTCAGGGCAGCGAGGAGCTGGCTCGGCGCTCCTTCCTGCTGGGTCTCTAGGGTCTCACTGCTGCCAAGTCGGCCACCACAGCAGCCCAAGTGAGGCTGCGGGGACTGGAGGGGCGGCGCACAGTGGCTCCGGGGTCAGGAACCCAGCACCTAGAGCTTGGAGGGGCGGCCTACCTACGCGGCTTGTGCACCACCTGGAACATCACCTCTTTGGGCACCTCTGTGGCGCTGACAGGCCACCCCAGCTCTCCTCCATGGCCATCCCTGTCATGTGGCGAGCCGTGCCGCCAGGCCCTGGGACCAAAAGAACAGAGTGAATCTGAACCATGAAGCCCCAGGAGAGCCGTCGTGACCTTACACAGTGGCGCCTTTCCTAAAAGCAGCCCAGGACCACGGGCCAACGAACAGAGGCCATACCTGACATACACAGCCTGGTGAGGCCTGGTCTGGACGGTGTTAGGGTTGGGCTTTCAAAAGTAATTATCTCGACCACAGGCTGATGTTTTCAGAGGCTCCTCCTGCCGTCCGTGTGTCGTCCACGGCAGCTTTGGCAGAACTGAGTAAATGCAACACAGAACCAATGGCCTGAAAAGCCAAAAATGTTTACCGTCTGGCCCTTTGCAGAAAAATCACCCTGAGGAGAAAGCCCTGCAACAGTCCCTTGCTGGCAGGTGTCTGGAGGCCTCTCCATTAAACCTCGATGTCCCCATGAAGCCCATGTTTTGGAAACAAGTCCCTTTCGTGGTGGCCACAAAGGACACAGCGGTGCCCAGCGGACCTTCCACCGCCCTCCCCACCTCCCATGGCCCAGAGGCACAGCTGGCCACGTGACAGGGATGCCCGTGGAGGAGAGCTGGGGTGGCCTGCCAGCACTGCAGGGTGACCAATGAGGTGATGTTCCAGGCGGTGCCACCCCACACCGATGTGTCCGCTGAGCAAGCAAGGAAATCTTCGCTGCTGAGCACAGAGGTCTCAGGGTTAAGTCCTCCCGTAACACATTCTAGTCCCCTCTGGTATCTCACAAAGGGGGCAAAGGGGTGCAGTCCCCTCTGTGTCCTCTTTCCCCGCAGGGCACAGAGCCTGGCCAAATGACAAAGGCTGCGAGAACCCTGCAGAGGCCGCCACAGAAGAACTCATGTGGCTGAAGGAGCACAAGACTGACTCAGCGCAAATAACCGCGGCCAAGCTCACACCCTCCCCACCACAGAGGAGAGACGACAGTCCTAAGGGTGAAGGTCAGGGACAGGCTTCCCCTCTTTGGAGAATCATCCTCCCTCCACAGTTGGTGTAATTTTCAGTGTCATGTGCCGGAAGACGTGGGACACAGCCTGGACTCAGAATCCAGCCGTACCGCTTAGCAGCTATGTGACCTCCCCTGCACTCAACTCTTCTCAAAGCTCCATCTTCTGATCTGTAAACAAGATCATCGTCCTCCACAGATGTGTGTGAGGATTAAAAGGCCGAGTCCCTGCCCGTGACCAGCCTCGGCAGACACAGCAGGGCTGCCTGAGCCAGCGGCCACCTCGCGGGAAGAGAAACCGCAGCTACCTCACAACAGGGCTGTGAGGAACACGCCTCATCCGGTTCTGGACACGGATCCACACTCAGTAAATAAGCTGTTGCTATTTATTAAATGATCTTTTAAAGTCTGTGAATAACATGATTTTTTCCAGAGAAATCTGTTCAGAGACGGAGGTACTCAAGGTTGTTTCTGAACAAGGTCAGGGACATCTGGATAGCAATTAACCACAAAAAGGAAATCTGAAATTGCCTATCGTTTAAAAAATTACATTTAGAAGCTCAATCACTTTCTCCAACTTCCTGAGCACAGGACCGATAGAAATCTGAGACTTTAAAATATGTTGGGATGAGGCGCCTGGGTGGCCCAGCTGGATAAACATCGACTCTTGGTTTCAGCTCAGGCCATGATGTGAGTCATGGGATCGAGCCCCGAGTTGGGCTCCACCCTCAGCAGAGTCAGCTTTGGATTCTTTCTCTCCCTCTGCCCCTCGCCCCTCTCTCTCTCCCTCCCTCCCTCTCTCTCTCCCCCTAAATAAATAAATAAATAAATAAATAAGATCTTAAAAAAAATAGGTTGGGAAATGCAAGTAATCGGGTTAATGTCCTTGCATTAGTCCCACTGCCGGCCCCGAGCCTCCCCCGCCACACGGCACCCCAGCCTCCGTATCCCATCACCCAGCCGTCTACACCAGCCCTGCGGCCACCTCCCCCAGCCCGTGGCCCAGGGAGTGGCACACACGGCCGTCAGCGCCAAGGGAAGGCCTCCCCGGGCGTCTCATCCGCCCCCACCCCACGCCCACCCGGAGGATGACTCTGGGGCCAAGTGACGAGCTGGTATCTCCTCACCCTCACTGCGTGAGTGCCCCCGGGTCTGACCAGCCTGGGGCTGCGGGTGACACAGCCCAACCTTCCTGTCAGGTGAGGACGGGGAGACCAAGTGTACGCAGGGGTTGTGCACGTAGAGCTTCTGTGGCCGCTGCGGGGGAGTCACCTGCGAGCGTCTAGAAAGTGAATGGAATTGGAGGCTCGGTCCCCCAAGTGGTGAGGAGGCAAAGTACGCGATCCGAGCAGCCTCTGCAGAAGACTTTCTCGTTCTCGGCCCCCAAATCTCACTTCCCCTCCTCCACTTTATAGGTCACATCCTCTTCACTTGTAACCCTTCTTCTCTCTGATGACTCTGTTACGAGCACACTGCTGTTAGCAACCTAAGGACCCTGCACCGGGAAATGGCATCCCAGTGCAATGGCTGGTCAGACAGGAAGGAGCAGGTACCCCACAAGGGAAGACACAGGAGGCCGACTCCTTCAGGGACCCTGGGCAGAACACGGTCAAAGGAAAGACGGTCTCCTCTTTTCTAAGCAGCAGAGACTGTCCTCCCCGCCCGACCTCACCAGTTCCAGCCACTGGGGTTAAGGAACCTGTCCTGTGACAAGAGACGTTAAGCGGGAGCACAGAAAGCCTGAGAGCGATCTGCTCCACTTGGCCCAGGCACCTCCGGCTTTGCCTCCTTCGCCCACCTCTGGGTCAGTCCACACAATCTCCAAGGCCATCTCTTCCTTCGAGAATCCTAGAAATCACTGAATGTGAACTACAGCGTCATGAGAAAGACCTCACCCCACCATGAGCAATCCGTAGCCACTGCTGGGAGCTGTGCACACTTGCCCCTCACCTTTGGGGACGAGGGGACACAGCTGGCCTCTAGTGAGAGTTAAGAAGGGGGAGCAGGGCACGTGCTACTCTAACAGTAAAAACGTGAAGCCTCAATCCCCCAGTCTGTCCTCAGTTTCCCTTTCTTGCACATTTTACTTGAGGAGAAAGATGTTAACAATATGCAACAAATAAAAATAGAGTTATAATTTTTTTACCCATAAAAAGTCACCTACATAGTGAATTTTTTCTAATAATAAAAATATCATTTGTTAACTATGAAATTTCCAATCATTTTAAAACACTAGTAGAAAGTAAAAGCTATCCATTCCTCAGCCCCAAAGACACGGCACAATCATTCAACTCCTTTTCTCATATACACATGCAAACTCTATTTTTACATAAAATAATACTATGTGTAAATTGTATAACTTGCTTTCTCACTTAACAATACACACTGTAGACATCTTTTAATTTGAACTTACACGATTTACCTCACTCTCCTTAAAAAACTGTGTAGTATTCCACTGCACAGATGAAACAAGACTTAACAGCCTTCCTCCCTGAGCCTGATTCTCTCTCCTGTCACACGCCGCCACCCGAGTCCTGGTAAGGTAGGCCAAGCCGTGAGGCCCACAGCTGACAGCCTGACGCGCTCTGGCAGAAGCCAGTTTACGATGAAGGCCAACAGACCTCCACCCTCTGCTCTCAATACGTGGCTGTCAACAATTTTTCCTTTTATCCTACAAAGACATGGACTAGATTTTTCTCATTTCAAGGTCCAAAATTCCTCACAATCAAAGAATTTTGAAGAAAATATTACGTGGCCATTTTCTCTTTGACTGTTTCATCTCAGGCTCTAACTTCTGGCAACACCACATTTGGCACCAAACCTAAATATGCATGAAACAAGACCAGTGGATTTCATGGAAAGCATGAGGGGAAGTATCACTTCTTTCAACCAATATACATGGTTAAGGTTGTCCAATTTAAAATATAGCTTGCCAGATAAGAATAGAAAATCCTAGAATATTTAAATTAAATATCTCTAGTTAACTGAGTCATATTTCTGAATCTTTAAGCCATCCCCAGTCTAAGAAAAATATTTTACCATCACACGGGTCTTTAACAAAGCCTACTGAATAAGAGTGAAATAGGAATGTCTGCATATTCTTTAATGCTGAAATGAAATCAAAGCACCTTACCCAAGCAGCTTATACCTTATACAGCGGACGGCGCACATCGATGGGGCAGTTCTGTATTACTTCATCAACGACATCTGAGATGGATTCCATAAAATCTGGGTTGGCAAACTAAATTTTATATAAATATAAAAGAAACATTATACATTTCTCTCAATACGACAAAACTCTTTTTAAAAAGTAACTTTAACAAATACAGAATTTACCATACCTTTCAAAACTTTAATTGGAATATATAGTATGTCAAATGAATCCCATATGACTGTGTGTAGTGATGAAGACATATGTCCCCTCAAGAGAGGAGATGGCTGGGTTTAGTGAAGGAAAACTAGCAAACTGAACAAAGAGACCAGCCCTGCATTAGGAATACACGGTGTATCATGCTGATAAGAGACTATAAAAGTACATTCACGATACATAATGAGAAACACCGTGAGTACATAATGAGCATAACACTTATGAATATTCATATCATGAAAGTAATTAGCCAAGATATTACCAAAAAAAAAAAAAAAAAACCACAGTCAATGAAAGATCACTGTAGTGGGCTAGAAGATGGGCGGAGGGGTACCCTATCTGATGATGGTGGCTTTATTTTTTTTAAGCAGGCTCCACGCCTAGCTCACGACCCTGAGCTCAGAACTCATGACACCGAGATCAAGACCTAAGCTGCGATCAAGAGTCAGACGCTTCACCGACTGAGCCACCCAGGTGCCCCCGACCTGATGATGGGGCTTTAAAATGACATAACCAACATGGTGATGATCAAGCTACTGAGTGAACAATCTTATATTTAATTCTCTAAGTTAAATACGCTAAAGTATAAATCAATTGCATTTTAAGCAGATTTTAAAAATCAAGAAAAGCTTTAATGTACATCAGTCTCAAGGAAAGAAGGTAACACCCAGTTGCTCTCTAGCTATTCACCAGACACTGTCCGTCTCATGTCTGTTTTAAGTCATTATCACCAAAGGCATGCGTGAACGAGCATGATGCTATTAGATTACAGTAACTCAGATATCTGTGCCACTTCCTATACATACAAAACAGTCATATATGCACCTAAAAATAGGCAGCAATTTGTAACCTAGTGAATATAAACTGAATTAGGCAGGAAAATATACCAAAATACAAATGAAATGCCTTTTATTTAAACCTTAAAATGTTGCCTCATACTTACTGCTCCTGCAAAAGTAATAATTCTTCGTGACTAATAGTTAAAATGGTGACATCGTAATTCTTACACTACATAACTAATGGAAAGGCTAGTCCTCCTCCGACAGAAACTATCACCAAATGTCCCGGGTGAAAACCTGGGACTAGGAAGGATGGTCATGAAAGAGGGAAAGAGTCTACGTTACCCCACTGTCAAAAACAGGCAACTTTCACTTGGTCCCTGAGACTGACTAGTTTTCGTATCAGGGTGAGATTGATTTTAATTCCATTACCTTCTATTGCTCTTCCCAACCACCCACGGTATGATCAGTCATGAACTATTTAACAATCGGGTCTGCGCAGAGGCAAACTGAAATAGCCGCCCAGACACACGGCAGACGGCACGGGGCCTGGCACGGGGCAGAGCGGCCCTGAGCACACCAGCCTTCCTCACACTGCTCTCCACTCACACAAGGTGGCAGCAGTACCCCACGGACGCCTGACTTGCACACTCAAAGGCAAACCTGATCTCACCTCTGGGTGAAAGAAAATTTCAGGTCCCAGGAATCTTTCATAGCCAACATCTATGATGAACTTCTTCTGGTTGATCGCATTGATACCCGTGTACTGCTTGATCCATTTCCGGGGATCCACGTCATATTTGGCAAATTCCTTGACTATGTCAGGGCAAATGTAGCAGTATTTCTCCTGCAAACACGAACACAAAGAAAGAGATGTCCACAGGCATTAACTAGGCAGAGTCTCCTCCCGCTAACAAATACCCAGTGACTCCACGCGTTAAACACAGCACGACTGGTGTGTGGACGTGCCGTCAGGCCTCCCACTCTGTCCTCCTTCACAGCCGACAGGGCCATGCTTCGATTCTGGACACGTAAGCCGGCTTTCTCAGTAGCTCAGCTATAAATCTCAGCCTTACTTTAGCACATTTTGTTGCCATATGATCTGAAACAATGTCTAAATGTGTCTACTAAGTGTCCTATCTCGGGGCGCCTGGGGGGCTCATCTGGTTGAGCGTCTACCTTCAGCTCAGGTCATGGTCCTGTCAGCCTCCCTGCTCAGCGGGGAGTCTGCTTCTCCCTCTCCCTTTGTGATCTCTCTCGCTCTCTCTCTCAAATAAAGGAAAATCTTTAAGTGTCCTGTCTCATCTTTCCTTTACTCCTCTGAGGTCCCCCTCTGGACCAGCAGACGTGCGCTGAGTGCAGCAGACTAATCCTCACGCCTACCATGACCAATAATTCAGTTGTGAGCCTGCTGTGCAGTCTGACATGGCACGGTCACGGGCTCTGTGACAAGTATCTACTGAGGGCCTGCGCACACGGGAGGTACAAAGGAACAAAACACACACAGACCCCTGCTGCTGGAACACACGCTCTGGCTGAGAGCTGGACAGTAAATGACGGCCGTGGTAAATAAGTAAATGACACAGTATGTTATAAGGTGGTGGATGCCCCCGAGAAAACAGAACAGGCAGATGTAGACGGGAGGACTGGGGGTCCTATAAGCTACTGCTGCATGAGAACCCGCTGATGCTCCGCACCCCGGCACCGGCAGCCAACCTGAGATGCACCCAGCGTTCCCTCAGCATCTGGTAACAAGTGACTGGGAATCTGTCCCCAGAGCTGACCTCAGCAAACCAGCAGGTGGCACGGGGGTACCAGCTTCTGAAAGTAAGCGTTCTGTGGGCAAGAACCAAGCGGGTTCTGTTCACCAGCGGCACTGCATCGGGCGCACAGCTCGTGCTCATTACACATTTTGGGAGGACCTCTGTAGGTGTTTTCCTGATACTAAGTGCAAAGTTTTTTAGAATTCCCGAAATGTATTCTAATACCATCCTTAATATACTCTCGCACAATTCTAAGACTTGACAAGCCAGGGTTGTGACCATCCCAGTGTTCCCTGATGCTAGAGAGGGGGTGAGTCAGGCAATACCACTTTAAAGCGGCTGTCAGAGGCCTGGTCCGTTTCCTGCGGCATCTCAACTGGCTTCACGGATCCATAAAGAGCCTCAATCGAGTTGGCTGGAGGGTGGCAGTGTGAGTCTTAAATTCTGGAACCTGCTGCAAGGATGCTGTGTGCCTACTCGTGACCATGGGGGATGGCCACGGGAGTAACATGACACTGGGGTACCTCCCAACCACTCTTGCCAGAATCTTTTCTTTTACAGAAAGCAGAGAGGAGACAATGAACAGCAGGCTAAGCCACACAACAGGGCCAGCACAGCTCATCCAGAGGGCACAGGAGGACTCCCAGCCTTCACCGCTGAGCAAGACATGGTCACAACCTGAATGGCAAGCTCCAATTTCAGGGCCACAATTGGACCCCGGACAGCCTGTGAGCAGAGTAAACACTGCCACAAGGACCAGGACAGCACAAGTCATCATACTCAGAAACCTTTACTAAAAATGGAACTTTCACACTCACCAGGTGGACCCCTGAGTGTCAGGACAAGAAGTTCAATCCTGATTCACATTAGTGACAGATTTGGGGTGACAAGGGAACATGGATCAAATATCCAAATTTCTTTTGTTAACGAAAGGCAAGGAAAAAGGGAAAATCTTGGGAAATATTTTAGTCTAAAAAGAAAGTCTTAAAATACTGCTGTAAACTCTGCCCCCAGGTTTGCCCAGGGCAAACTGTTCTAGCCCTGGGGGTACCCAATCCCTGACACTCCAGTCCCAGGGACGCTGGGGCAGCTAGCCATCCAACCAGCAGGAGCCCTGGCCTATACCAGCGCACCCTGTCCGAAAAATACCAGTTTTTACCAAGAGTGGCATGCAAAACATGGGGTCCTCAACTGACGACTTTTCTTCGACCAGCCTGCTCCTGGGTGCTTAGATGGGAGGTGGGGGTTTAGGCTCGCCTCCCCTTAACAAGCATGTGTTCAATGAAACAGGAGATGCTCATGGTCACAAGTCACACTTCAAAATTACATTCCTCTCCAAAAACAAACAAAACCCTTCCCTCTTCATCCACGATAGTTATCCTTGTATTACTAAAAGTCTCTTGCATTTTGGTTAAAAAAATTTGTCTTGATTTTGAAACCTAAAAAGAGAAGTTCCTTCAGAAAGGGTTTGTCAGCTGCCACATACAGAGTAATACAAAGACTAAACTGATGGATCAGGTCACGTGGACACCTTAAATAAGGACCAGTGAGGCATTTTTCTTCTAATCTTACTGATTTAAATTGCAAAACGTCCCGTGACTTTTCCAGCGGTGGTACCAGAGTCTAGAAAATGCAGATGGATTTTGTTTAATGACCTGAGATTCTAGAATGGCACTATTCTCAACTGTCATTCTCAGGACACAGAACCTCACCCAAGTACCAGCCATCAGTCTAAGTACTGGCTGACTCGGCCAAAGTCCCAACACCGCTGTTGCTGGGGTTTGCTCCTTATTCCAGACATGAAGCACGGAGGGAGATAATGGAAGGCACATTCCGTTAATTGAAGGTTCCATCTAATTAGGTTCCAATTAAATGATGCTGTACTACATGCACCTGTGCTCAATACCAGTTATCAAGCTGTTCGCATTTACAGCCAGAACCGCCACAGCATTCACACGCTCAGAAGAAAAGGCTAAGCTTTGAGGCTTTCAGCCCCTTGACTCAAGTGGCAAACAGAATAAGACCCACATTTTCGGGAGGGGAGAGGAAGGAGGGTGGGAGCAGGGGTGATGGCAGAAGGGGAAGTGTCCAAACACCATCTCTCTCTCACCCCCAAACCGGCCCATTTCCCATCTGTTTTTACCTTAATGGCTTTTGCGGTCTCCAGTGATTGCTCAGGAGGGATTCCCACCTCCCTCTCCCTTAGCAGCTGCTGAATGAAATACGTAATATCTCTACCTGCAATCGGGATGTGTTTGATGCAGCTTCCAATGACATAACCTTCTGCCTAGGGAAGAAGAGGAGGCAGAACGACGGGAATGAGTAACTCCAGCGGGCAGAGCTCCCCAGACTCTCTGCTTCCTACCCCCTCGTAGCACAGCATTTACTGAATCCCCACGCCGGGCAAAGCTCAGGACTGGAGGTCTTTTAAAATGACTGCATGCACAATTCCCTTAATGTAACCTGAGACTCTCTGGAAGCAACCAAAATGATTACATCAGAAAAGTGAAGAGAAAAACCAGTGCATTTCCAAAAAGTCATGCCGTCTGTCAGAACAGCAAACTGTTTTACGTTCTTTAACAAGGAAAAAACTTTACCTATAAACTGTTAAACCAACTACAAACCTACTTATATTTAAGAGTCAACAATCTGGTTAAGTACACAGGGCTTAGACTCAGACAACCTGGGTTCAAATCCTGGTTCCACGACTGTCCGCTGAGTGACCACGGACAAGCCTGTCAGTGCGTTTCAGCCCTAAAACCTTCATCCACACCATGGGGCAAACAATACCCCACATGTGGTTTACAACAGAGACTTAATAAAACAGTAAGTCAAGCACATAGCACTGTTTGGGGGATGTACTCGGTACTTGATAAATGGTCCCATTTATTGTACTAAGAGCTGCACTTGTTAGGAATAATTCTGATAAGTTACCCTAAACCCTGTGCAATTTGAGACCAGTGCTGGTCAGGAGTTGGGACCCTCTGGCTGGACTGCGGGACCAGGAGAGTACTGCAATGCAGAGTTCAAAGGCCGGCCCCAGCCCCTCACCAGCCATTCTGGGGGCACAGGTTGTTCCGGAAGCCAGGGCTTGGGCCCACAGCCCGCTCGCTCTCTGGGGGCTGGTGGCCATAATGGACGGCTTCCGACCACAGTTCCATCTGAAAAGAGGAGACACTCCAGACTCCACATTCCAGCACCGCTTCTGTGCCACGTGCCCATGGGAGACGAGGGACGGAAGTGACTGCCAACCTCACCTTATGGGCAAGTCGGAACTAAGGATTACCAGCACCAGACCCAGTCAGCAGTTAAGCTGCAAGGACAGGTGCCCGAATTCCCCTCGTGTGTTTTCTGATGTACCTGAACTCTAGAAGTAAGAAAAGATTTGGCCTCTCCACAGTGTCCAAGCTATTTGTGAAATATTTAAGATGGAAATAAAAGATATGTACAAATTATTAAAGTAAGAAAGATTAACTTAAACTCACAAGAATACTAGCTAACACAAACTATTCACAATTATTATATTCTATGCATTACATGTAGCATTTTCTAAAACGAAGTCAACCAGCGTTAAGTAAGTATTGGCTTCATCACAACATTAAAAAAATTAAAAAAAAAAAACCCTACATGTCCTACAACAGGAAAATAAATGAGTAAATTATTCCATACCTACATGATGGGCTATATGCAATTATTAAATATTCAGAGAATATTTAACCATAAGAAAAAATAGTAGAGATAAGTTAATATGCAAAACATAACTTCAGGATCGTATTATACAATTAGAATACACAACCAGACATAGAATATTCCAATTTTGCTTAAAATGTGCATCCTTGTGCACCTAAGAAAAAGAACTGGGAAGGTTCTCCAAACCAAAGCATAATGCGGTTCTCTGGGCAGATTTATGGGTCATGTTACTTTCTTCTCCACATTTCTGTTTTACACAAATTTTGTACAACAAATGTAATTTTTATAATCAGAAAAAAACTGATAAAAAGACACAGATAAAAATTTTTAAAAACACTTCTTCAGTGGACCTGTACACCACATGAAATCTGTTTTCTCTACTTCTCCTCATTTGAGACATGGGATGGGCCAAGCAGCAGGCCCTCCAGCACCTCCACCCCCGGGGCTCTGTCTGCACTGAGGTTTGAGGGCATGATCTCAGAGAGAAGCCCGATACCAGAATTTCCCAGTCAGCGTTACAGATCGAGGAGCACTAACTCTTCACAATGACCCAGGAGAGGAGTAAGTGCACTGACACAGGCCTGGTGCTCCCAGCCCAGGATCTGCAGGTGGCACCAGCGCCTGCCCTGTCTCTCTCGACCCCTCTCCAGCAGGGGCCCCAGGATGGAGCATGGGACAAATCCGGTGTTCCTTCTTCCTGACTACAGATGTCTCTTGAAGACTGAATGAGGAGTCACTTCTCTAATGTTCTGAAAATTAAAACCAAAAAGTGACACTGCAGAGCATTCTGTGAGTCAAAATGTATAATCTCTCCTTCTTCGTTCTTGAATACATTTAAAAAAAACAAGAAGTAATTCCTCTAAAGCATGTGGTGGTCAAAGCCATACGCATCCTGTCACAGAACAAGTGGCCATGCCCCATGCCGACAATCTGGTCTCCAAGATGCAGCTCGGCACGTAAGCCAGGAAAATCCCACAGGTGATGCTACAGCGAGAGGAGCAGGCAGAGGCCACAGGGTCCAAACCACGGCGGACGTCCTGACCGCAGACATCTGCCACTGCAAACTGAGAATCACCAATGCCATGGTGAAGGGGCATCTGTCCTTTCTCCTATACCTGGGTTTCAAACCTCTTGTCACCTTTTCTAAGTACAGCCATGACTTTTAAAGTGGTATTTTAATTACACAAGGGTTTTTTTTCTTTCATTTCTTCCCTTACCTCAAAATTAGGTGAGGCCTACAGAGAGTGAAGCATTGACTATCCTGCTTACCACTGGGATAGCGTGAGTGACCCCATCCCCGCTGTCAATGACGATCCCTGTTAACGTGCGCTCCCCAACTTGCCGAGAGGTCCAGGATGCAGCTAAGGCCAGCACTGCCTGGGTAAAGGACGCAAAAACCGTTAGCACACAGGGAAATGTTTCTCAAGTCTTCTGCCTGCATGTTCTCAGGCTCACTGACAAGCTCTTTCTTAGTTACTCCAAGTAACTCTCAACCTTCCCTAGCCTCCATCCTCCCCCTGCCGCTCCAAAGTTCAAATTCCAAATTGCACAACACACAAATTTAGTAAACTTAAACTGGATGGGTCAAGTTTTCAATAAAGTAAATCAAACGTTTACAAAGGAAAGCCCAGGGAAAAGGAACTTCACTATGGAGTAAGAGGATTTTAATTTCTAAGCCACTAATTCCCAGTGTGGGTCCACAGATGGGCTGCGGTAAGATCACTTGTGGAGTTTTTTAAAAAACAGATTAGTAGGCCTCACACCCAGAAACTCTAATCTGGTAGGACCAGGGCAGTGGTGCTCAGCCAGGGGATCTTTGCAATGTCTCAAACCATTTTGGACTGTCGCACTTGGAGAAGGGGAGGCTGGTGGTAGTGCTTCTTCCAGTGGGTAGAGGCCAGAAAGCTAAACATCCTGCAACACACAGGTCAGCCCCTACCACGTAGAACTACACATTCCGAAGCACTGAGGTTGGAAAGCCTTGGTCTGAGATGAATTCTGAGAATCTGTTCTCATATAAACTTCTCCAGGCAACACTGACACACTGGCTGTGGCTCAGTGTTTTCTAAAGTACTTCCCTACTCCATGGGATGTAAATAACCTGGGGAAGAGGAGACTTCTGGTTAAATAAATTCGGAAGTGTTGGGGAAGGAACAGATCTCTTCAATGCAGGCATTCTCAGGGCCTTTACTCTGCTACTCAACTGTGAATCACCACGTGCAGGCTACAGCACGCAGGATCTCCCAAATTATTTTCCTACGCAACTCCTCCTCCTTTTCCTTAAAAGGGACTAGTCTGATGCAGAAAATATTTTGGGAAACACCTATCTCATTATTCGCAAAATTTCAGCCAATTCCTTTATATAGGATGGCAGACAAATAACCAGCAAAACCAACAAAAATCCCCACGCTATGAACAAGTAGCTTCAAAGGAAGTTCTGTAAATTCATGGAACCACAGGAGCCCAAAATCCATAGGGGGGTCCTCTAAAAGTATTTTTTTATTTTTTAACAGACTCTATAGTATCTTTCCTCTATTATGATCAGGAGTGAAAGAAGTCAAAAAAAGAACCACACCTACTTCCCGATCTTGTCACCGAAAGAGAAATACGTTGGATTTTAATGCATGTAAAAACAGCCAGATAAATCCTATATCAACAGCACAAACGTAAAAACTAAACCACAGAACACGTTCTCTACAGTGTTTGAGTTCAAACCTGAGTGGGGTTGGGGTGTGAGCTGAGGGAGTGGGAAAGGGAAGAACACAGCGCACCATCATCCCACGGAGAGCCTCTGGAATCACCGTTTCTCCCACCGCTGGAGAGCTAAGGTCTGTTGGGAATTGTAAAAATAACTTTGTTTTTACCTGAACCGCAATGTAGAGTCCTGGTACATTAAATGATTCAAACATAATTTCTGCAAGATATTCTCTGTTTTCTGGCGTATTCAGTGGAGGCTCTGTCTGTAAGAAAACATTCACTATATTTAGCCTTCACCCAAATTTCCTGTAATTACATCAGAGCCATGAAAAAATTAACCCAAAAGCATGTTAATTAGGATGCTGTACCATTCCCTAATTTTACAGATAGAATACATTTACAGTGATTAATTAAAGAAATCTGGTGTGTGTCTTAAAAGCTTTAAGATGGCAAAGGCCTCTCAAAACATTTCTGCTCTTATTAACCACCCCAAAACAAGAACAAGTTACAGAAAAGGAAATTCTTTCTTCAAGAACATAATATCTAAAATACCCTGAAACTGAAAAGACCTGCAGCAAGCTGCCCAGTGCAGTAAAAACTCAACCAAGACACGTGAAGACAAACACCAAAAGGGAACACCAGTGACTCTGGATCCCAGGCAAAGAATAGAGCTCTCCACAGAAGAGCAAAAGCATGAGTCAGCCCTGGCTTGGAACCAGAATGTCCGTTTGAGCAGAAGAGCTGGAGACGCCTCCCAAGCCCCACCTGCCCTCAGAGCGCATGAGGCAAGGTCAGAGGAAACATCCTCCTTGTCAGCTACAGGGCAGGAAAGTGCAGGCGAGAGGCAGCTTCACCCAGACTCCGCCCAGCCCCCAGCCCAGCCTGAGCTCAGCACACAGTCCAGGAAGAACTCCCCCAGAGTTCGAAGGTGAGGAAAGTACACACAGAAACCAGCCAGACACCATATGGAAATACTAAAAGAAAACAAGAGGGGAGAGAGAGAAAACAGGAAAAACAAACAGCAGGCAAAACACGCATGCCCAGGAAGATATAAAAACAAAGCAGATACAAATCAAGACCAAGAACAGCTCGAAAAACTCAAATATCCATTTTAAAATCATCATTATCAAATAGGAGGATTATAGAAAGATAAAAAGAATAAATAAACCTGCTTTTTGTCAATCAGCAGTATGTTGTGAACATTTTTCCATGTCAATAAATATGGACATACATCACATATTTAACGCTGCAAAAAGAAAAAAAAAGAATAAATAAAAATTCTCTGGGCCTTTTCGCAAAAAAAAAAAAAGTCCACATGACCATTATAGACTGAACTGTGTCCCCAAAATTCGTATGTTGAAGCCCAACCCCCAAAGTGACTGTATTTGGAGATGGGGCCTCTAGGGAGGTGATCACGGTTAAACAAGGCCATAAGAGTACAGTCCTAATTCACTATCATGAATGCCTTCATGAGAAAAGGAAGAGACACCCGAGAGCTCTCTCCGTCCCTACACGTCAACACAGACAAAAGGCCATGTGAGCACACAGTGAGAAGGTGGCCACCTGCCAGCCAGGAAGAGAGCCCTCACCACAAACAACCCTGACAGCACCAGGATCTTGCACCTACAGCCTCCGGAACTGTGAGAACACAAATGCCTGTTGTTGAAGATACCCAGCCTGTGGTTCTTTGTTTCGGCAGTTTGTGCACACTTTGAAACCTTTCAAGCGGGGAAAGCACAGCTGGCCCCGGGGAAGGGGCAGAGCTTCATTTAACACTGGGACACATGGGGCCATATATATAGTCTTCTGAGCAGGAAGGTGTGACCCAAGAATTCTATATCTGGTCACACTGCCAATCAAGCATGTTACAAAAACAAAATTACCTTTAAACGTACAAGAACTTGAAGAAGTAAATTAACTCTACCAGAAGATAAAGTTCAGCCAAACAAGAAGAATGCACAAAGTACAGCCAAAGACTTACAGTGAGCAATTAATCCATGTAGGATGTAGAACTAAAGACTGTTCTTTTCTGGGGTTTATACAACAGAATGCAAATGTTACAAAATAAAACAGCAGAAATAATATCAAGCTGAGAGGTATAAAAGAAAAGGAGAGAATATAAAGACAGTGATATCTTCTTATCATGGAATCAAACACATTATTCTAGACTGATCACATTAGTACACATAATGTTATGAATGTTGATATGAGAACAAGTTCAGTAACAAACAATCAAAAGCAGGAGGTAGAAGGAAGGAAGGGGAGGTAAGAAAATGTGGAAATGTACCAACTTGCTCACTAATCACAGTAGGAAATAATCACCCCTAAACAAATACCAGGTAAATATATACAATCATAGTTACACTAAAAAATGTTTTAAAAAAAATACCAAATTATTAGAAAGAATACACACTCACTACAAAGCAAAGAGAAAACCAAGCCAGAGCGTTTTTTTTTTTTAACATTTTATTTATTTAGTTGAGAGAGAGAGAGACAGAGACAGTGACAGAGATAGTAAGAGAGAGCACGAGCAGGTAGGGAGAGGGAGAAGCAGACTCCCCACTGAGAAGGGAGCCTGATACGGGACTCGATCCCAGGACTCTGGGATCATGACCTGAGCTGAAGGCAGACGCTTTACTGACTGAGCCAACCGGGCACCCCACCAAGCTGGAGTCTTAAAAAATAAACACATAAATAAAACACATTAAACAGAGAAAGCATAACATAGTGTAAAATAGCTCATCAAAGAGCAAGCATGTCTGTCACGTAGTGGCAGGCCAGACCAGTGGAGTTCACATGACGGTTCTGAAGTCCCAGCAGTTGGGTTAAATCCCAGCCTTCAATTTTACTGTGTTTGGAAAGTGATTTTCTGGGCCGCCTGGGTGGCTCAGTCATTTAAGCAGCCAGCTCTGGATTTCTGCTCAGGTCATGATCTCAGGGTGGTGAGATCAAGCCCCACATCAGGCTCTGCGCTCAGCAGGGAGTCGGAGCCTGCTTGAGATTCTCTCCCTCTCCTTCTGCCCCTCCCCCTGCTTGTGTGCACACACACTCTCTCTCTCTGATATAAATAAATAAATATATATAAAAAAAAAGGAAAGTGATTTTCTCTCTCTGTCCGGAATTAGCACCTACCTCACAGAGGTGGAATGATGGACGGAGTCTAAGTAAACTGCGTACAGCAGCGCCTGGCACATGGAATGGGCTCAATGAAAGTGAGTTATTTTTACTAAAATCTTTAGCAAACACAAGTGAGAAACTCACCTACTAAAAAGAAAAAATGTCTCTCAGCTAAGACCATGAAACAAAATCAAGTTACGTTCTGTAGGCAAGAGAGCCATCTAAAGCAAGATGTTCCAGAGAGGGTGAACGTCAGCCCTGGTTGGATGAGAAGATGAGAAACCTAAATGCCATCTTTAAGGGAGCAATTAGGTAAATTATGCCACGTCCAGAGAGTAGAACACTCCGCAGCAATTAGGAAGACCAAGCTCTCTCTATGCCTCCAGGAAACAATCTATGAGAAGCTGCTACATGAAAGAGAAAGGCGTCTCCAAGTCGTACACATGCTCAACTGTTCTTTGGTGTCAGTGATTTTTAAAAAAACTTTTTAGAAAACAGAGTGTGGGGAGGGAAACGGGGAGCTGCCCCACAGGCACGGAGGCTGCTCGGCAAAAGCGGACAAGGACCAGAGTCCCGGCTTCACGGCAATATGAACAGGGAACATGACAACTACACATTTACAAACGGTCGGGAGGGTAAATTTCACATTACATGTTTGTCACAACATTTTTATTTTCTTGAATAAAAAAGAAACAAGGTGTACATGGTGTATACTTTGTTACCATGTGTATAAAACAAGAATTTATGTATAATCCATATGCCTGCACACAATTACCTCTGGAAAGAGAAACAATTAGCTGGTTAAGAACTGATAAAGGTGGTTTCCTCTTGGAGGAGGGTCTGGGAACCAGAACAGAGGGGAGAAGGAAACATACTTTGCGCTGGAAATCCTTCCACACCTTTTGAATTCTGTGCTTTTGTATTACCTCATCAAACGAACAAACCTAGCGACCCACCAGCTGCATGCTTTGGTTCAGACTCCTGCACAGCAAGTGGTACGAAGCTCAAACACAGTGCCACAAGAAAGTTTTAATCACTGTAATTAGAAGCAATATATTCCCTGGATGGGAGAGAGAAAGCAATCTAAAACACAGGAGAGAAATAATGAAGTCATATGCAAAAGCAGGTTGTTAAGTAAGGGATCTAAAAGTCACTCAACAAGGTATTACTTATGTTAACGTGCTTATTACCCCGAATGGCAGAGAGTAAATTTGTTAATACCTGTAAAGTGTCCAGCACACACTTAATGCTATAAATGTTAGTGTTTATTGTTATAGATTTCTTTCATTTAAAGCACATGATCAATGGCTGCAGAGTCTAACAGTATTGGCTACAATGTCCCTCTCTCAAGGAACCTCCTATCAGTCTAAAAAGTGGGGCTAATAACTAACTACCTACACCTCAAGGTTGTTGGTAGAATGAAATAAATGAGTTAATACACGTAAACACTTGAGAGGCAGGGAGCCTGGGCACATAGCATGTATTCAAGAAATTCAGCTGTAATTATCAATAAATGTTATTCAGACCAGCAGAAATAACATACATTAACTAAAGAGATCTACACTTTTTTCTCACCTTTAACAGGAATCTAAGCACTTTAATAAGTTTATTTAAAAAAAAAATAAGGGGGGCATTTAAACTGCATAGAAGGGGGAGAGAAAGGTTTAAAATGTCGGAAGAGCATGAGCATAGGTCACACAGGTCAAGGAGTGCGTCCTGCCTCCCAGGCAGGAGCTTCCTGCATGGTCTGGAGCAAAAGGTGAGCCTCCAGGAAGACACCACCAGCAGGGAGTAGATTAACCCTGGCTCCCCGGACCTCTCCTGGGTTTAAGTTCTGTGTCAAATCATGTTCCAAATAACCTCAAATGGATGAAGATTGAGTATAAACATCAAAGGAAAATAGATTTACTAAATAAAACTTAAAGTTATAGATGTTCAAAAAACATAGCCTACAAAAGCAAGGAAAAAAATCAACTGAGAAAAACATAATCTGGTGCTGACAAAAGCTTCCTATTATCTGCAAGAGCTCACAGAATAAACAAAACGCAGGACATGCATACATCGGGATCTTACTCAGCCCTAAAAAGGACGTCCTGACACCTGCTATGACACGGACGAAACTGAGCATCACGCGAAGAAATATAAG